ATTGAATAAACGGACGGCGTACTTTGAACGAATTCGTTTAGGGATAGTGGCATTTGGGACGCAGCGCTGATGATGAGCAGTAGAACTATTTATCATCAAATACACGGAGTCATCCATCCCAGTTTAACTGGCCACACTGTGCCTGGGTCTCTGTTATTAGGAGGAGAAATGTGGTGGCCGAGTGGCTCTAAGACAATGAGTCGGCTACGGTGAGGTCCTGCGTCGACCTCGTTTGCGTGCGCACCAATAGCCAGGTGCAAGGAGGGATACCATCGGGTGGATTATAACACGCACTGAATTAATGAGCAGAATCTACTACAGACCAACAAACCAGCCAGCAAGCGAATTGGAAAACCGGTCAACGATAGCGCCCAGCCAAAAGGAAGCGTTAAGAGGCAAGCGTGATGGCAGAGAGGGGGCGGGAAAGGTCAGGGGGGAGGGGAGGTGGGGGGAAGGTCAGGGGTCACAGAGGGGGGTGGCGGGTGGGGGAGGGAGGTCTCGTTACCTGTATAGAGGCCAGCTGGCACGCCTTCCCGAAGAACGGCGCTGGGCACTCACAGGTAAAGCCGCCCGGCCCCTCGGCCCGGCACAAGCCCCCATTAAAGCATGGGGAGGAGAGGCACCCCTCTGGGGAGCGGGGGGGGGGGGGAGGGGGGGTCAAGGGGTCACGGTGGGGGAAGGGGTCCAAGGGGAGGAGGCAGAGACAGACAAGAGAGCACAAGAGAGCGATAGTTAGACGGAGCGCAATGTTGGACGAAAAAATATGCTCAATAAAAAAATAAGGAAATTCACAGGCAGTGAGCAGAAAATTGGGGTTTGAATTGGTTTGGAATTTTCATGCGGAACATGACTGGCTCCTGCCATGTGGAATGTTCAACGCTGGCTAAGAACCGCCGGTGGGTGAAGAAGGGGCACTGCCTCGATGATCGTTTGAGCGGGGGGGGGGGACGGACTCTAGCGTTGACGGATTTCCGTGGCTTTAGTCAAGAACCCCCTGTCAGCATCAGCGATGTCACTTTGAGTCTGCGCCGCGTTGTTCCGCCGCTGCCACTGTGGTGCAACTTTGGCTGTCGCCAATGAACTCTCTATCCTGGCTCTGCCTTGCAAGTGAGACTTTGCTGTCCCTCAGTGGGATCTTACTGGGTTAAAAACCCCAAACCGCTCCCTAACAACCCCCAACATTGATCCCTAACCCAACACCACATTGATCCCTAACCCAACACCTATCCCTAACCCCACATTGATCCCTAACCCAACACCTATCCCTAACCCCACATTGATCCCTAACCCAACACCTATCCCTAACCCCACATTGATCCCTAACCCAACACCTATCCCTAACCCCACATTGATCCCTAACCCAACACCTATCCCTAACCCCACATTGATCCCTAACCCAACACCTATCCCTAACCCCACAATGATCCCTAACCCAACACCTATCCCTAACCCCACATCGCCCCTAACCCCACATCGACCCCTAACCCCACATTGATCCCTAACCCCGCATCGATCCCCAACCACCAAAACGGACATGTGTAACGTACAAGTCGTACAACATAAACCCTGAGCCTTGTGCAGTCGATTTAGATTTCATATCGTTAAGCTTCAAGTGTATTTTGTTGTTTATACTTTCAGCACAATAACAAAATCAAGTTAGGGAGAATTCAACAGATACAGTGGTGTGACTCACTGTACGAAAGCAGACAGGATGCAAGAGTCAGGTGCCATCAAGTTGGCACCCGCTGGGAGTCACGCCACACACGACACTCCTGCCGAACTCGCTACCCCTGGCCACGCCTCCACAGAGCATCCCACCCCAGACACGGGACACCCTGCACACGTGGACACCCTGCACACGTAGACACCTTGCACACGTGGACACCCTGCACACGTGGACACCCTGCACACGTGGACACCCTGCACACGTGGCCACACCAGACACGTGGTCACCCTGCACACGCGGCCACCCCAGACACGTGGTCACCCTGCACACGTGGACACCCTGGACACGTGGCCACCCTGCACACGTGGTCACCCTGCACACGTGGACACCCTGCACACGTGGTCACCCTGCACACGTGGACACCCTGCACACACGGCCACCCCAGACACGTGGTCACCCCAGACACGTGGCCACCCTGCACACGTGAACACCCCAGACACGTGGCCACCCTGCACACGTGGACACCCTGCACACGTGGCCACCCTGCACACGTGAACACCCTACACACGTGGACACCCTGCACACGTGGCCACCCTGCACACGTGGCCACACCAGACACGTGGCCACCCTGCACACGTGGACACCCTGCACACGTGGTCACCCTGCACACACGGCCACCCTGCACTCACGGCCACCCTGCACACGTGGCCACCCTGCACACGTGGCCACCCCAGACACGTGGTCACCCTGCACACGTGAACACCCCAGACACGTGGTCACCCTGCACACGTGAACACCCCAGACACGTGGTCACCCTGCACACGTGAACACCCCAGACACGTGGTCACCCTGCACACATGAACACCCCAGACACGTGGTCACCCTGCACACGTGAACACCCCAGACACGTGGTCACCCTGCACACGTGAACACCCCAGACACGTGGTCACCCTGCACACGTGGTCACCCTGCACACGTGGTCACCCTGCACACGTGGTCACCCTGCACACGTGGTCACCCCAGACACGTGGTCACCCTGCACACGCGGCCGCCCCTGGGGGGTGGCCGCGCGTCCCGACCCAGGCGCTCCGCTGGAGCCGCTGCAGTTGAAGACATGGACGCTGTGACGACGCGACTCTTGCGAGGAACTCGAGTGGCCCGCGGCTCCCGAAGTCCCCGCTGTTCTCTTGCCGTCTCACTCACGCAGGAAGCGCCGGAGCCGGCGAAGCCGTCCCGGCACGCGGGCGGTGCGACCGCAACGACGGGGGGCCCACCGGGGCCCCACCGGGGGCCGGAGGGGCCCACCGGGAGCGGGCCGCGGAGAGGGGAAGGAAAGCCAGGGCGGCGGCGGCAGCAGACGGGCCGGGAGACGACGTCTCGACAAGAAGCGATGAGGGACGATAACGGAGCGGCGGCCTCGGGGACGGAACACGGCGTCCGAAAAGGAAACGTCCACCCAGGAGATGGAGCGATGATGAAAGCGGCTCCTGGTGTGCACGGCAGGTGCTGGATGGACCGTCAGAGAGATGGCGGTGGCTTTGGGGGGGGGGGGGACGGAGGCCTTCATCATCCAGCAGTGGATTGACCACGGCTGACGATGACGACGGAGCCAAACTTCTAGGGACGCACGCCTAAGAGCACGTGAAGTCCGTAATTCGTGAAGAACGGAGACGACTGCGAAGCTTTGTGTGTGTAAGGGGGTGGGGGGGTAGAAAGCGTGGAAGGATGAAGTCAAAGCGAATCAAAACAACGGCTCCGCATCGCGGTGGAGCGGGCGGTGTTGACGGCGCACGAGTCCCATGGACAGCACAGTGGCTCGATGGCCTCACAAACAAATGTCGTGATCGGGGTGGCGGCGGGGGGGGTGGGGGGTTGGCTCGTTTCATGGCCACCCCCCACACCCCCCCACAACTCGGAAATGTTGGGCTCAGGTCAGATATCCACATTTTTTCGTCATCACCACCACCACCATGAGCAGCCACCGGCAATCCACTGCTGGATGATGACGACGCCCGCGATGGCGGTGCGGTGAGCTCCCGGCGGTGCGGTTGCGCCGTGCGCGGCGTGGGGGGAGCGCCGGCACAGCGGTTGGCGCGCTGCGCCACGAAGCCGGCCGCCCGAGTTCGATTCCCGGTCCACGGCCGCCCTAGGTCGGCTCGGCCGTAAATGCGCACCTGGTCTCGTGCGATAAACATCACCACGAGGTCACGGTACCGTAACAGCGTTACATGAGCGCCGCGCGCTAGGAGCACTTGCCCCGCCGGCCTCTTGGAGGCTACGCGGGGCTTCTTTGTCTCCGTCTTGGGCATCGCATTTTTTCGAGAGCGAAGATTTTTGGAAAATCTTCCCGGCGCCGCCGGCGGCAGCAGCCGCCGCCGCCGCCACGAACGGAGACCCCCTGGGGCTGCCGTGCCACCACTCGTGGCGAGAAGGGTAAATATTTACACCACGTGGTGGTGGTGTTCTAAGCGAAGCGCTGCCCCCCCCTACCACCACCATCCCCCCCCCCCCCACCACCATCCCCCCACCCGCACGCACCAGAACACATCCATCGCCGCCACGAAGTCGCCGCACACAGCACCCAGCGTCGGTAGGAGGGAGGGATAGACTCGGAACGTCTGGCCCTCCCACCGGTGACTAGGAGATGTTAACCACCTCGCCTGTTCTACAGGAGGTTGTGGGTTAGATCCTGACCCTGATGATGCATCTTGTAATATCTGGAGTTTGCGTGTCTCTCTCTCTTCCCCGTGGTTAAATGGATTCTTCTCCGGGTCCCCTGATGACTAGGAGATGTTAACTACCTCGCCTGGTCTACAGGAGGTCGTGGGTTAGATCCTGACCCTGACGATGCATCTTGTAATATTTGGAATTTGCGTGTCTCTCTCTTCCCCGTGGTAGCGTGGATTCTTCTCCGGGTCCTCCAATTTTTCCCTTCACATTTAGAATCAACGTCACGCGTTTAGATTTATTTGACCGTTGCCAGGAAGTTCCACGTGATGATGACAAGCTACTTGGTTGAGCTATCATTTGTGAAAGCCAGTGAGATTCTGAAAAAGAGCAACATCGCTCACCTGGGCCTCGCCCTGTAAAATGAAAAATAGTTTTATAATTTCGTTTTACAAAAATGATACCCAGTGATGCTACTGCTGGACTTTCAGTGGTGTATAATTAGCCAAAGTGTTCGCAGCGAGTCTATCTGTGGGACCAATTAGTTTTTTTCTGGTATCAAAAATGATGAAAACAAAAATATGATTTCCCCTTTCCGGCAATGATACACCAAGTAGACACAGACCTATTATTCCATAGCATCGAGTCCGCATTATATACACAACCCCTCAACCCGTGCTAGCGATGTCTCAACCCGTGCTAGCGATGTCTCAACCCGTGCTAGCGATGTCTCAACCCGTACTAGCGATGTCTCAATCCGTGCTAGCGATGTCTCAACCCGTGCTAGCGATGTCTCAACCCGTGCTAGCGATGTCGCAACCCGTGCTAGCGATGTCTCAACCCGTACTAGCGATGTCTCAACCCGTGCTAGCGATGTCTCAACCCGTGCTAGCGATGTCTCAACCCGTGCTAGCGATGTCTCAACCCGTGCTAGCGATGTCTCAACCCGTGCTAGTGATGTCTCAACCCTTGCTAGCGATGTCTCAACCCGTGCTAGCGATGTCTCAACCCGTGCTAGTGATGTCTCAACTCGTGCTAGCGATGTCTCAACCCGTGCTAGTGATTTCTCAACCCGTGCTATTGATGTCTCAAACCGTGCTAGTAATGTCTCAACCCGTGCTAGTGATGTCTCAACCCGTGCTAGCGATGTCTCAACCCGTGCTAGCGATGTCTCAACCCGTGCTAGCGATGTCTCAACCCGTGCTAGCGATGTCTCAACCCGTGCTAGCGATGTCTCAACCCGTGCTAGCGATGTCTCAACCCGTGCTAGCGATGTCTCAACCCGTGCTAGTGATGTCTCAATCCGTGCTAGCGATGCCTCAACCCGTGCTAGTCATGTCTCAACCCGTGCTAGTGATGTCTCAACCCGTGCTAGTGATGTCTCAACCCGTGCTAGTGATGTCTCAACCCTGGCTAGCGATGTCTCAACCCGTGCTAGCGATGTCTCAACCCGTGCTAGCGATGTCTAAACCCGTACTAGCGATGTCTCAAACCGTGCTAGTGATGTCTCAACCCGTGCTAGCGATGTCTCAACCCGTGCTAGTGATGTATCAACCCGTGGTAGTGATGTCTCAACCCGTGCTAGTGATGTCTCAACCCGTGCTAGTGATGTCTCAACCCGTGCTAGTGATGTCTCAACCCGTGCTAGTGATGTCTCAACCCGTGCTAGTGATGTCTCAACCCGTGCTAGTGATGTCTCAACCCTGGCTAGCGATGTCGCAACCCGTGCTAGTGATGTCTCAACCCATGCTAGTGATGTCTCAACCCGTGCTAGTGATGTCTCAACCCGTGCTAGTGATGTCTCAACCCGTGTTAGTGATGTCTCAACCCGTGCTAGTGATGTCTCAACCCGTGCTAGCGATGTCTCAACCCGTGCTAGTGATGTCTCAACCCGTGCTAGTGGTGTCTCAACCCGTGCGAGCGATGTCTCAACCCGTGCTAGTGATGTCTCAACCCGTGCTAGTGATGTCTCAAACCGTGCTAGCGATGTCTCAATCCGTGCTATCGATGTCTCAACCCGTGCTAGTGATGTCTCAACCCGTGCTAGTGATGTCTCAACCCGTGCTAGCGATGTCTCAACCCGTGCTAGCGATGTCTCAATCCGTGCTAGCGATGCCTCAACCCGTGCTAGCGATGTCTCAACCCGTGCTAGCGATGTCTCAATCCATGCTAGTGATGCCTCAACCCGTGCTAGCGATGTCTCAACCCGTGCTAGCGATGTCTCAACCCGTGCTAGCGATGTCTCAACCCGTGCTAGCGATGTCTCAACCCGTGCTAGCGATGTCTCAACCCGTGCTAGCAATGTCTCAACCCGTGCTAGTGATGTCTCAACTAGTGCTAGCGATGTCTCAACCCGTGCTAGCGATGTCTCAACCCGTGCTAGCGATGTCTCAACCCGTGCTAGCGGTGTCTCAACCCGTGCTAGCGATGTCTCAACCCGTGCTCGTGATGTTTTAATATTTGCATTGCCCTTGTACTGTTCGCCTTTTTGCATTCTCTGGCTTTTGTGCCCCCTCCTCCCTTACCCCCCTCCCTCCCCCGGCTTTTCCCACACCCCCCCAGCCTCCCCGTCTCCCCCCATTCTCAGGGTCCCCAATTCTCAGGCTCGTCGTCCCCTTAAGAACCCCACGCCGATCATTAGCGGCACCACTCACGCCAATTAAGAGGGCCCCCGGGGTAACGCGCCCAGCGAGCTCCCCTTGGGGGGGGGGGTGAGGTCACCGTGCGGTGGGGACTGAGTGCGCGTGACCGCGCGTGTCGCTCACGACTCCAGCGCGCGTGCGTGTGTATGTTGAACTTCTTATTGCGAGCGAGTGCCTCGTGTGTGTGTGTATGTTGAACTTCTTCTTGCGAGCGAGTGCCGCGTGTGTGTGTGTATGTTGAACTTCTTCTTGCGAGCGAGTGCTGTGTGTGTATGTTGAACTTCTTATTGCGAGTGCCGTGTGTGTGTGTGTGTGTATGTTGAACTTCTTATTGCGAGTGCCGTGTGTGTGTGTGTGTATGTTGAACTTCTTATTGCGAGCGAGTGCCGTGTGTGTGTGTATGCTGAACTTCTTCTTGCGAGCGAGTGCCGTGTGTGTGTGTGTATGTTGAACTTCTTCTTGCGAGCGAGTGAGCGAGTGCCGCGTGTGTGTATGTTGAACTTCTTCTTGCGAGCGAGTGCCGCGTGTGTGTGTGTATGTTGAACTTCTTATTGCGAGCAAGTGCCGTGTGTGTATGTTGAACTTCTTATTGCGAGCGAGTGCCTCGTGTATGTTGAACTTCTTATTGCGAGCGAGTGCCGCGCGTGTGTGTGTATGTTGAACTTCTTATTGCGAGCGAGTGCCGTGTGTGTGTGTGTTGAACTTCTTATTGCGAGCGAGTGCCGCGTGTGTGTGTATGTTGAACTTCTTCTTGCGAGCGAGTGCTGTGTGTGTGTGTATGTTGAACTTCTTCTTGCGAGCGAGTGCTGTGTGTGTGTGTATGTTGAACTTCTTCTTGCGAGCGAGTGCCGCGTGTGTGTATGTTGAACTTCTTATTGCGAGCGAGTGCCGCGTGTGTGTATGTTGAACTTCTTATTGCGAGCGAGTGCCGCGTGTGTGTGTATGTTGAACTTCTTCTTGCGAGCGAGTGCCTCGTGTGTGTGTATGTTGAACTTCTTATTGCGAGTGCCGTGTGTGTGTGTGTATGTTGAACTTCTTATTGCGAGCGAGTGCCGTGTGTGTGTATGTTGAACTTCTTATTGCGAGCGAGTGCCGCGTGTGTGTGTGTATGTTGAACTTCTTATTGCGAGTGCCGTGTGTGTGTGTATGTTGAACTTCTTATTGCGAGCGAGTGCCTCGTGTGTGTGTATGTTGAACTTCTAATTGCGAGTGCCGTGTGTGTGTGTATGTTGAACTTCTTATTGCGAGCGAGTGCCGTGTGTGTGTGTATGTTGAACTTCTTATTGCGAGCGAGTGCCGCGTGTGTGTGTGTATGTTGAACTTCTTATTGCGAGTGCCGTGTGTGTGTATGTTGAACTTCTTATTGCGAGCGAGTGCCTCGTGTGTGTGTATGTTGAACTTCTTATTGCGAGCGAGTGCCGCGTGTGTGTGTGTATGTTGAACTTCTTATTGCGAGCGAGTGCTGTGTGTGTGTGTGTATGTTGAACTTCTTATTGCGAGCGAGTGCCTCGTGTGTGTGTGTATGTTGAACTTCTTATTGCGAGCGAGTGCCGCGTGTGTGTGTGTATGTTGAACTTCTAATTGCAAGCGAGTGCCGTGTGTGTGTGTGTTGAACTTCTTATTGCGAGCGAGTGCCGCGTGTGTGTGTATGTTGAACTTCTTATTGCGAGCGAGTGCCTCGTGTGTGTGTGTATGTTGAACTTCTTATTGCGAGCGAGTGCCGCGTGTGTGTGTGTATGTTGAACTTCTAATTGCGAGCGAGTGCCTCGTGTGTGTGTATGTTGAACTTCTTATTGCGAGCGAGTGCCTCGTGTGTGTGTATGTTGAACTTCTTATTGCGAGCGAGTGTCGCGTGTGTGTGTATGTTGAACTTTGTTATTGCGAGCGAGTGCCGTGTGTGTGTGTATGTTGAACTTCTTATTGCGAGCGAGTGCCTCGTGTGTGTGTGTATGTTGAACTTCTTATTGCGAGCGAGTGCCTCGTGTGTGTGTATGTTGAACTTCTTATTGCGAGTGCCGTGTGTGTGTGTGTATGTTGAACTTCTTATTGCGAGCGAGTGCCTCGTGTGTGTGTGTTGAACTTCTTATTGCGAGCGAGTGTCGCGTGTGTGTGTGTGTGTATGTTGAACTTCTTATTGCGAGCGAGTGCCGTGTGTGTGTGTATGTTGAACTTCTAATTGCGAGCGAGTGCCGTGTGTGTGTGTGTGTATGTTGAACTTCTTCTTGCGAGCGAGTGAGCGAGTACTGCGTGTGTGTATGTTGAACTTCTAATTGCGAGCGAGTGCCGTGTGTGTGTGTGTGTTGAACTTCTAATTGCGAGCGAGTGCCGCGTGTGTGTGTATGTTGAACTTCATCATTGCGAGCGAGTGCCGCATGTGAACGCGCGTTCCGTTCCAGGTCCCGGCGGGCGCGCGGGCGCTGAGCTCACGGTCCCTCCGCGTGAGAGCGGGAGGTCAAACCGGGCGGCCGCGGGCAATGGCTTGAGCCATATCGTCGCACTCGGTTCGTAATGAACGTTGTTGTCGTCATCATCGCTCGACGACTTCTATACTTACCCGTCAAACTGAGCATACACGAATCATCAATCACCATGTAGCCAAAACCCCATCAGCATTTTCGTGTTAATGCTGTCACCACCGCCATCATCACCATCATTATTATTATCAACAACGTCGAAACTTTCCCATCGTCTGAAAGTCAGAGTGACCGACCGCGGCTCACGTGCGCAGAGGCATTGGCGCTCATCTCCTGCTAGCAGCCCTGCAGAGTCGGTGGTGGAAGTTCCACATTCACGTGGCGGGAGCGAGTCTATTCCAGAGGACAGCCCACTGTTGGCTTTCGCAAGCGGCGCTACTCGTTTAAAGGGGGTTCAAATGAGTACTCAAAGAAGTCGTTTTATCATCATCACGTGGAAATGTACAGCAGGAGCCAAATACTCTAAAACGCGTTTTTCTAGACGTGTCAGGGAAAACCGGAGGACCCGGAGCAGAATCAACGCAACCACGTAGGAGAACACGCAAACTCCAAATATTACGAAATGCATCGTCAGGGTCGGGATCGAACCCACGACCTCCTGTATACCAGGCGAGGTAGCTAACATCTCATAGTCAACCCCCGGGTAAACGCCCCCAACCCGTATCGCGAGGGACGCCGAGGTGGAAGAGGGATGGGGGTGCGCCGCGTGGTTCGGTTCACGCGGCGCGGGCGCCGCCGGTTCGCCGGGTGGCGGCCGGACAATCTGCCCGGCCGGCCGGACGGCGTCCGTCGGTCGGTCGGTGTCGGCCAGCCCGCCGGGTTCTTACCGGCGCACTCTGGGCGGTCGGCGCGCGGCACGCACTCCACGGAGCCGGCGCGGCACGAGCAGGAGTGGCACGGGTCGCCCTCCCAGCGCTCGTCGTGGGCACGGGCTCGCCCCTGCCACTCGCACGCCGGCCGGCGGCACTCGCAGGACTCCAGCTGCTTCACGCGACCCACCAACTCCACGTTCTGCCAGCGGGGGTGGCGGTGGAAACGGCGGGCGGGAAGCGGGGGCAGTAATGGGGGGCAAACGAGGGGGCAGGAAGGGGCAGGAGGGATGGGAGAACAGGGGCAGGGCATGTAGCAGGATGTCACATCACAGGAGAGAGCGGGCCTCGTTGGGATCTCAGGTGGTTAAATATGCGGGCGAAACGTCGGACTCAGATTGTAAATGTTGTGGCTTGGCTCTCCAACACGCCGGTGTGCTGTACTAGTATACTACACTATACACTAAACTATTATACACTACACTATACACTAGTGCTGTACTAGTATACTACACTATACACTACACTATTATACACTACACTATACGCTAGTGCTGTACTAGTGACGAATTGGCACGTTCTGTTTACGTGACAAACCCCTTACTAATTGGCTGTGTCGGGTGCTGGCGGGTTTAATGACCCAAAAAATATATATCGAACGAAATCACGACAACAACACAAAAAACAGCGCCATAAAAGAGTTTCCACCTTTTTCACTGCAGACCAAAAAACCAGACGGGTTTCTCCATCAACGCAGGGGTCTATTGTCAGAAAATGTGCAGCAGTGACGCTGTGGTGAAGTTGAACACCGCAACACCGGGAGCAGATCTCGGCACGAATAAATTCATGCCGCCTGAACGCAGATTCCCATAAGAGTGGCAACCCTGGTGTGTGGGTGAGTGGGTGGGTGGGTGAGTGAGTGAATGAGTGAGTGGGTGCGTGAGCGAGTGAGTGGGTGAGTGAGTGGGTGGGTGGGTGGGTGGGTGAGTGGGTGGGTGGGTGAGTGTGTGAGTGGGTGAGTGGGTGGGTGAGTGAGTGCGTGAGTGGGTGAGTGAGTGGGTGGGTGAGTGAGTGGGTGCATGAGCGGGTGGGTGAGTGGGTGGGTGAGGGAGTGAGTGAGTGAGTGGGTGGGTGGGTGAGTGAGTGGGTGAATGAGTGAGTGGGTGCGTGAGCGAGTGAGTGGGTGAGCGAGTGGGTGGGTGAGTGAGTGAGTGAGTGGGTGAGTGAGTGAGTGAGTGGGTGGGTGGGTGAGTGAGTGGGTGGGTGAGTGGGTGGGTGAGTGTGTGAGTGGGTGAGTGGGTGGGTGAGTGAGTGAGTGAGTGGGTGAGTGAGTGGATGGGTGAGTGAGTGGGTGCATGAGCGGGTGGGTGAGTGGGTGGGTGAGGGAGTGAGTGAGTGGGTGGGTGGGTGAGTGAGTGGGTGAATGAGTGAGTGGGTGCGTGAGCGAGTGAGTGGGTGAGCGAGTGGGTGGGTGAGTGAGTGAGTGGGTGAGTGAGGGAGTGGGTGGGTGGGTGAGTGAGTGGGTGGGTGAGTGGGTGGGTGAGTGAGTGAGTGCGTGGGTGCGTGCGTCGGTGAATAATTGGGCGAGTTGGTTTGTGAGTGGGCGAGTGCATGGCAACCGAATGGGTTAATGAATGAATGGATCGGTGAGTGGGTGATGGGCCAGTGAGTGAGTGAGTGGGTGTACGGATGAGTGGGTGAGTGAGTGGTTGGGTGAGTCGGTGAGCGAGTGGTTGGGTGAGTGAGTGGGTGGGTGGGTGAGTGAGTGTGTGAGTGGGTGAGTGGGTGGGTGGGTGAGTGAGTGAGTGGGTGAGTGAGTGGGTGGGTGAGTGAGTGAGTGAGTGGGTGCATGAGCGGGTGGGTGAGTGAGTGGGTGGGTGAGTGAGTGGGTGAGTGAGTGAGTGGGTGGGTGAGTGGGTGGGTGGGTGAGTGTGTGAGTGAATGGGTGAGTGAGTGGGTGAGTGAGTGAGTGGGTGAGTGGGTGAGTGCGTGAGTGCGTGAGTCGGTGAATAATTGGGCGATTTGGTTCGCGAGTGGGCGAGTGCATGGCAACCGAATGGATTAATGAATTAATTAATGGATCGGTGAGTGGGTGATGGGCCAGTGAGTGAGTGAGTGGCTATACGGATGAGTGGGTGAGTGGTTGGGTGAGTCGCTGAGCGAGTGGTTGGGTAAGTGAGAGGGTGGGTGGGTGGGTGAGTGGGTGGGTGAGTGTGTGAGTGGGTGAGTGGGTGGGTGAGTGAGTGGGTGGGTGAGTGAGTGGGTGGGTGAGTGAGTGGGTGCATGAGCGGGTGGGTGAGTGAGTGAGTGGGTGGGTGAGTGAGTGAGTGTGTGAGTGAGTGAGTGGGTGAGTGAGTGAGTGGGTGAGTGAGTGAGTGGGTGAGTGAGTGAGTGGGCGATTGGGTGAGTAAGTGTGTGAGTCGGTGAATAATTGGGCGAGTTGGTTCGTGAGTGGGCGAGTGCATGGCAACCGAATGGGTTAATGAATTAATTAATGGATCGGTGAGTGGGTGATGGGCCAGTGAGTGAGTGAGTGGGTGCACGGATGAGTGGGCGAGTGAGTGGTTGGGTGAGTCGGTGAGCGAGTGGTTGGGCGAGTCGGTGAGCGAGCGAGCGGGCAGACTAAACCTGCACGCGCGTCCCAGCCACCACGAGGCTCGCGATCCCCCTTGCGAGGTTCACCGCGAGTCCACGTGAAACGCATCGACACCGCGACCCCCTCCGCCACCCAATGGATTCCTGACGCCACGCGAACGCGGACGGCAAATTCCCCCCCGGGGCGAAGAGGTCGCCCCCCCCCCCCCCCGGGGTGTTTTATTCGTGCTGGAGGTAAACCCGACGAGCCGTAAAGCTCAGCGGAGCGGCGACACGCAGCGCTTTGGCGATGAAAGTTGTTGAACGCGTCCAGAGAGATGCACGCAGAGCCGAGTGAGAGCAAGGGGGGGGGGGGGGCAGATCGGGACGTCCACACAGGGGGGACCCGCCCCCCCACCCTGCATTGTTACTCGCTCACAATACATCACCTCGGCAGGGCGGGCGTGTTTGTTTAGGGGGGCCGGGGGGTTGCACGGCTCACTCTGTCACACGCACAGAGAGAGAGGGAGGGGGGGCGTTTGGGCACGAGGAGAGCCTCACCCTGAGCTCACTGGTCAACACAAAGGAAGCTGTTATCACTGGCGGTGTGCGCCTGTGCCTGTGTGAGTGCGTGTGTGCGTGTGTGTGCGTGTGTGTGAGTGCGTGCGTGTGTGTGTGAGTGTGTGTGTGCAAGTGTCTACGTGTGTGTGTGTGAGTACGTGCGTGTGTGCGTGTGTCTGCGTGTGTTTGTGCATGTGTCTGCGTGTGTGTCTGCGTGTGTGTGCGTGTGTGCAAGTGTCTACGTGTGTCTGCGTGTGTGTGTGCGTGTGTGCAAGTGTGTGCGTGCGTGTGTCTGCGTGTGTGTGTGTGTGCGTGTGTGCAAGTGTCTACGTGTGTCTGCGTGTGTGTGTGCGTGTGTGCAAGTGTCTGCGTATGTGTGAATGCGTGTCTGCGTGTGTGTGCAAGTGTCTGCGTGTGTCTGCGTGTGTGTGTGCGTGTGTGCAAGTGTCTGCGTATGTGTGAATGCGTGTCTGCGTGTGTGTGCGTGTGCGCAAGTGTCTGCGTGTGTGTGTGCAAGTGTCTGCGTGTGTGTGCGTGTGCGTTCGAGCGGAGTGGAGCGGCAGTAGAGTGGTTCGCGCTACGAACACGGGTACCCCGAGATCGAGTCCAGCTCACGGACACCACGTGACGATCATCTGAACCCGTCCTGAACCTTTACCGAGGTCGGCTCAGACTCAAATGAGTACCTGACGCGGTGTGCAATAAACATCGCCACTCTGGAGACAAAGGCGGCTGGGCGTGGTGCTGGTCACCCACAACCCCTGGTGTACAGTCATAGGTGCTCGCTAACAGCACTTGCCCTAACAGTCTGGTAAGGCTGTACGGGGGATCTTTGCATTGGTGCGTGCTTGATTCACCATCACCATCATCGTGAGCTCCACTATCATCGTCATCATCATCGTTATTATCATCACCGGTAAGATCTCGACCGTCACCGTATGATCACGATCATTGTCGTGATTTAACGTCATCCTCTACATCATCCTTTATCGATATCTCCATCATCATCACCATCAACATCATCGAGAAAAGTGCAGCGGTGGTGTCACGATATTTTGTTTCGGATGATCAGAAATGTGGTGCCCTAAGCCTGAGTTATTCATCCACAACTTGGGGTCCCATCATTTAACAAAGACAAAGATCCCCCGTATAACCAATGCTGTGAGTGGACAGCTGTCACTCACTCCCACTCACCCACACTCACTCACCCACACTCACTCACCACTCACCCCCACTCACCCACACTCACCACTCACCCCCACTCACTCACCCCCACTCATTCACCCCCACTCACCCCCACTCACTCACCCCCACTCACCCACACTCACTCACCACTCACCCCCACTCACCCCCACTCACTCACCCCCACTCACCCACACTCACTCACCACTCACCCCCACTCACCCCCACTCACTCACCCCCACTCACCCTCACTCACTCACCACTCACTCACCCACACTCACCACTCACCCCCACTCACTCACCCCCACTCACCCCCACTCACTCACCCCCACTCACCCCCACTCACTCACCCCCACTCACCCACACTCGCTCACCACTCACACCCACTCACTCACCTCCACTCACTCACTCACACTCACCCCCACTCACCCACCCCCACTCACCCTCACTCACTCACCACTCACTCACCCACACTCACCACTCACCCCCACTCACTCACCCCCACTCACCCCCACTCACTCACCCCCACTCACTCACCCCCACTCACTCACCCCCACTCACCCCCACTCACTCACCCCCACTCACCCCCACTCACTCACCCCCACTCACCCACACTCGCTCACCACTCACACCCACTCACTCACCTCCACTCACTCACTCACTCACACTCACCCCCACTCACCCCCACTCACTCACCCCTGCTCACTCACCCCCACTCACACTCACCCACACTCACCCACACTCACCCACCCACACTCACCCACACTTACTCACTCCCACTCACACTCACCCTCACTTACCCACACTCACTCACCCCCACTCACACTCACCCACACTCACTCACCCACACTCACTCACCCACACTCACCCCCACTAACACTCACC